TAGTTATTTCCATATTCAGAATTGGCACAATGCATATTAACAGTAATACACCTGCTATCATCATCATGCAAGTGAACTGAACACTAAAATTAATATCCAAGTGAAAAGTAATCTCAATTAAAAGTGATACTGCAGCCTGAGTCATTTTTTTTCAAAGTAAATTTCATGTACATATATTTTTTACTCAGTGTATTATCTGGTTAGGCCTTGAAGCTATAAAGTAGGACAGAATCATTAGTTTTTATACTATCGCAGATACATACCATCGTAAAACAGTGTGGACCTCGTCTATAACAATCAAACTGAAGTGTTGGCTTCTGGTCACCATTTCTCGCCACTTAGTAACAGACAATATCGCTTCCGGAGAGGTAAATAAAAACTGAAACGTCTCATCTGCTATCTGTGCATCTTCTTCTGAGTTTCTACCGATATATGTTGCAGTAAATCCAAGTGACTGCAAAAACTCGCATTGTTCTTTCATTATTGAAATAAGAGGGGATATCACTAACACATTGCAGGGAAGGCGGTGTTTTTCAGTCCACAACACTTGAAAAGCTTGATAACATAAGCTCTTCCCACCCCCTGTCTTCATAGACAAATATACATCCCTTCCTTCAAGTAGCTTTTCTAGTGTATCTTTCTGAAATGTCTTTAATTTGCTTATTCCAAATCGTTCGCTAGCCACTTGATCAATTGACGCCATTTTGAAGTATAAAGCGAAAGTGCTTTGAAAGGGACTTGCTGATTGGACAATATCGCTTTAGGTGTACCTTGAGCGACCAATTAAATCGCCTCATTAATTATTCATGAGAACGAGCGAATTGGTATGAATGGACCCACGGGTGATGGAGAGAGGAACGAAGCGTAATCAGCCGTGGGTTTCCGACGATGAATTATGTTATATTTTAATCATTCACTGAAAGAAGATTTACTGCCTGATATCTTGTGCAGAGATGGAAATACGGCATCAACAGATATCAAAATAAAGCTGCATATGAAGGTGAAATTATGCAGGAAGTATAATTTATATGGAAGTATGTATATCCATTTTTCACATTTTAAATGCTGTGCCTATCCTTAGATTTCATAAGAGCACGCAGTTTAAATTTTCATAGAAGCTAACATGCCTCTTAATTTCATTTTTTTATGTATTCCAGATCAAACCAATTATTCAAAATTGTCATATCTCCCTGCCACTATGCAATTTGGTTCTTAAACCAAAAAAGACTAAAATATTTAATTGTGAACTAATATGAACTTTAAAAAAAATTCCAGGAATCATTACTTCTCCATTTTTACTTTCTGGAGTCATAGGTGACTCTAAAGGAGCTCTTCTAATTCCTAAGCCCTGCGTTGGAAATGCAGACTTTGGTGTCGACAATGGCTTACTGTTGGGGAGGGTGTAGAGCAACACTTCAGAAGGACTGGAAGTTCTAATATACAGATTACATCTGAACTGGAATGTTTCTTTTTTAGGTCACCTGAGTTTACTCAGGTGACCTATCGCTATCTGTTTTCGTCCGTCGGCGTGCGTCGTCCGTCGTGCGTTAACATTTGAACATTTTCAGCTTCTTCTCTGGAACCACTGAACCAAATTCAACCAAATTTGGCACATAGCATCTATATGTGAAGGGGAGTAAAAATTGTGAAATTCATGACCCCTACCCCCCTGGGGCCTGAGGGGTGGGGCTAAAACCATCAGAATTAATGCAATCTTTAAAAATCTTTTTCTTAACTCCTGGGCATCAAGCAGGCAAACTGTTGGCATGAATGTAATAAGCATTGAGCCCTCTACCTAAATTGTGAAATTTATGGCCCCAGGGTCAGGGGTTCTGGTGCTAGGGTGGGGCTCTGTTGAATATGTAAGTAGTATAAGAAGCCTGGAGGGGCGGGTCAACTGAGTGCACTTTTTGTCCCCCCAGATCCTGGATAGGCGGGTCAACTGAGTACACTTTTTTTGGGCCCCAGATGACCGGTTCAATCTAGTATACACCCTGGAAAAACCCAAGAAAAAAAAAGGGGGGGTCTACGTTTGATCTACGTTTTGTGCTGAGTCAGGTCTAGGCAATACACACAATCTTGGCATGGATTCAAGTATACCATTGTGACGTCATGTGTGTCATTCACACAGAGCTCTATTTTCTGAAAACGGAAAAAACAATAACACAGTCAAAAAGTGTGTAAGATGATTTATTCAAAGTAATGTACATATTTACTTTTTCTTCTGGAGTTTCAGGGTCTTCTCCGTCTGGGTAGTAGGAAGTTTCCTCTTGTTCTCCATTCCTAGATTACGAATCTCATTCCTCATCTCTTCTCTAAACTCACGAAGCTCATGAATCACCACTTCTCTAAACAGACCTATATTATTATCAATTTCCTGCAATATCATGGTCATTTGATCTAAGATATCGCATATCAAACTTCTTTCATTTCCTTCAATACTATCCTGTGTCTCTGGTATGAGTGGAGGTGAATTCATGGACTTTTCCTCTGCCATATTTTTACGTCTGTCTAGTAACAAATGCCCACTAAGACTGATCCTAAAATTTCCAGCTCTGCTTTATATACCCTTTTGTACGTACTGTGTACGTCTCAATACTTAGTCTTGGATCAGCGAGCTACCTAGGCATTGTGACGTCATACACTGTATAAATACAGCTTTTCTCCGACTTTCAGCTCATTTTGTTGTCAGATCTATCAAGATGAATTTTGATAGTGCCTTGAAACAATTGTTACATGCACAACAACTTATGAGATGGAAAAAACGGGAGAAAGAATTAGAAAGAATTATTTCTCGACAGAGAACTAGAGAATTAGTTCTCAGGAAAAAAAATGCGAGATTAATGGAAAGATTAAAGAGAGCCAAAGCCAACCGAGCTCAACACTTACAACGTTTACGGAATCTACCTGAAGAAGAAGAAGAACCCTCTCCGTCTTCATCACCACCCCATTCACCACCACCGAAACCAAAAACCATTTCCCAGTATTACCAAGTGAGACTCAATCAAGCTAAGCATTCCAGAAAATTTAAAGCTAAAGAAGATGTGTACAGTGTGAATTTTAAAGAATTTCCAGAGGAGGAAAACAGAGGCTTTGTTCGGCGATTATTTAAAGACATGCTACAGAATGTCAAATATCACATGCAGTGTAACCCTAACGATTATGTACGCCTGAACATTCACCACCCTTCTCTGGATTCCGACATTTGGTACGAGTTTACTCAATGTAAACATTTAAACAAGGACGTCATTTTAAATAAAATAGAAGCCGTGCAACAATCTAAGAAAGATTTTAAACTGGGAGACGGGTCTATGGAATTCGACATGTTTCATGTCAAATATCCAGAAGGCAGTGGTGGACAGAATACTAAACACCTGATGGTCAACAAGGAGAGTTTTAAAAAGAATAAACGATGCATCGTTCAGATCGACAATCCCTGGGATCAATTTTGTTTAGCTCGAGCCATTGTAGTCACCCGGTTACACAGTCAAAAACCGGAAAATCCAGAGAGTTTAGTTAAATGGGAAAAACGATGGCTACGTATGCGGAAGGGTGATGTAAGAGCTAATGACCAGAAAAACGAAGCTATAGCTCTCATGGAACAAGCCGGGTGTGATATTCATCAGCCTTGTGGACCCCAAGAATGGGGGAAATTACAACACGTGTTAGCCCCTCATTATAGACTGAAAATATATCAGTTTAAGTCCAACTCCTCTAAACTCAGTTTGGAGCCCATATATAAAGGCGGCGGAGATGGAACTTGTTTAAACATTTTGTTAGACGATCATCATTACGATGCTATTTTGTCTATGCCAGGTGTGACGGGCAATCAATACTATTGTGATCATTGCGATGTGGGATACAGGAACATTACAGACCATCGTACCAAGTGTCCTTACCGATGTTCCTTTTGTTTAACGGACACTCCCTGCCCTCCAGACGGGAGCCACATTCAATGTTATCAATGCCAGGGATTTTTTCAGAGCAGAACTTGCTACGAAAACCATTTACGACCTCACAGTAAGAATACGGCCACAACGGTATGCAGTTTAATGGGACGATGCGAGCATTGTGAGAAATGGATGCCTAAACGATTACTCCCTCATCATCATTGCGGAGGACAGAAACAGTGTAAGATCTGTAAGAAAACTGTAGACACTGATCATCAGTGCTACGTTCAACTGAAGCCTGAGAAAAAGAAAAAGAAAGCCAAAGAGACATTACAGTTTTATATTTATTTCGATTTCGAATGTACACAGGAAAACGGCATCCACGTCCCTAATTTATGTGTGGCACACCGCGTATGTCAGCATTGCGGGCACTTACCCATAGAAGATCCCTGTCCTCACTGTCGACATATGGGACCCCGTCAACACGTGTTTAAAGGCCCAGATACCTTAAAACACTTCATGGACTGGTTATTACAGCCCGACACAGGCAATAAGAATTCCGCCTTATTACACGACGAGGCTATCATCATTGCCCACAATTTCAAAGGATATGATGGACAGTTCATTTTAAATTACCTGGTGCATTCCGCCTGCATGACGCCTACAGTCATCATGAACGGCAGTAAAATCTTATCCATGCAAATCTGCGGATTGAAATTCATCGACTCTTATAATTTTTTACCTTTTGCTCTGTCTAAAATGCCCTCTGCTTTCGGATTCACCGAACTGAAAAAAGGGTATTTCCCTCACTTTTTTAATACAGAACAGAACCAGAATTATGTGGGGCCTTATCCACCGGCAGCATTCTACAATCCGGACGACATGTCTATAAGTGGACGACAGGCTTTTTACCAATGGTACGAACAACAAGCCGGAAAAGTGTTTGATTTCCAGAAGGAATTTTTAGACTATTGTATTTCAGACGTCGATATTTTACGACGATGCTGTGCTCAGTTTCGAGCCACTCTCAAGACCTTGGTCCATGTAGACCCCTTCCAGGAATCCATCACTTTTGCCAGTGCGGCCAATTAAGCTTACCGTCGAGGATTCATGCCCGAAGATACCATTGCCATCATTCCCAACATGGGGAATCAGCCTGCACGTCAATATTCCGCCAAAGCCTGTCGTTGGTTAAGCTGGATGAGTCACCAGAGCGGATCTCACATACGACATGCTAGAAACGGAGGAGAAGTCAAGATCGGAAGTTATACTGTAGATGGATACCAGGAAGCTACTCGTACCATCTACGAATTTTACGGATGCTATTGGCACGGATGCCCTACTTGCTATCCGAATTTACAGACCGAAACTCATCCTCACCGGACACAATTTACTTACCAGGAATTACACGAGGAAACTTTAAGGAGGAATACGGTCTTAGAGGAAATGGGGTATTCCGTACATAGTATCTGGGAACACGATTTCGATCAACAAGTACAAATAGAGGGGGCATTACAGAATTATGTACGAGATCTGGACATTCCAGATCCTTTGAACCCCCGAGAAGCCCTGTACGGAGGCCGGACCAATGCTACAAGATTGTATTGTGAGGAGGGGGACATGAGATACGTGGACGTCTGTTCCTTATACCCTTACGTGTTAAAACACAGACCTTTTCCTTTGGACCATCCTCAGATCATTACAGACGACTTCCAGGACGTGAGAACTTATTTCGGTCTCATTCACTGTCGGGTCTTACCACCCCGAGGCCTCTATCACCCCGTTTTACCTTATCGCACAGGAGGCAAGTTATTATTTCCATTATGTCGAACCTGTGCGGAACGACAGGACTCTACTTCTAAACATCGATGTCAACACACAGACCAGGAACGCAGTCTTACAGGTACTTGGGTGACTACAGAATTACATAAAGCCCTAGACATGGGATATACTTTAGAGCGGATTTACGAGGTTTGGCATTTTCCAGAAAGCAGTCAAGATTTATTCAGATCTTACATCGATACCTTCTTAAAGATCAAACAGGAAGCGTCTGGATTCCCACCTGATTGTCAGACGGAGGAACAGAAACTAGATTACATTCGTAAAGTCATAGACAGAGAAGGCATTAGAATGGACCTATTAAGTATAGAAAAAAATCCGGTGCGAAGAACGATAGCCAAACTCTTTTTAAATTGCCTGTGGGGAAAATTCGCTCAACGCCTGTTATTACCTAAAACTCGATACTTGACCGAAGAAGAGGAAGTACAGCAACTCTTACAAGATTCGACCATTGACATCAAAGGGCTAGAACTCTTAGAAAATAAAGAGGACCCGGAATTGGACATGATGCTGGTGAATTATCAAGAGAAACAGGAATTTGTAGAAGAGTGTCCCTTCGGAAACGTGGTACTGGCCTGTTTCACTACCGCTCATGCCCGATTACACCTCTACGAGACTTTACAACCTTTAGGAGATCGGGTCCTTTATTTCGATACGGACAGTATCATATACCAACATAAGGAGGGACAATTTAATCCTACCCTTGGCCACAGTTTAGGAGAATGGACTGATGAATTAGACGGGGACCACATTATCAAATTCATGTCAGGAGGTCCTAAAAATTATGCTTACCTTACCGCCAAGGGAAATTCCGTGTGTAAAGTCAAAGGATTGACTCTTAATTATCGGGCTTCCAATATCGTATCACCAGAGACATTAGAAAAAATGCTCAAGAAAGAAATGGATGAAATCCAAGTCTCGTATCCTTACAAAATACAGAGGACTCGTCAACATGAAGTCAAGACAGTACCTTTAGAAAAACAATATAGAATTGTCTATGATAAGAGACAATTAATGAATGATTATAATACTTTACCTTATGGTTATTAAAAAAAACTGTATTTCAAAATGTGTTTTTATTTTATGTGGGGAAAACCCCTAAAATATGAAGGGGTTATAAAAAGGGGGCAAACATATTTGAACACTTCAGTCATGGCTAATCATTCTAGGGAGCCAGAGGGGGTTCCTCATTACCCTAACTATGCTCTGCTCTTAAAGAGAGAAGCTACCTTTAAAGAGGGATGGCCCGAGTCTTTAAAGGGCTTATTACCCAACCTAGCCAAAGCTGGATTTTATTACAGGGGAGTGGGTGATAAGACCACTTGTTTTCATTGTGGTATGGGTTTTACCAACTGGGAACCTACAGACGATCCTTATGTAGAACATGCTTATTGGAACCCTAATTGTCCTTACATCAATACCTATAAAGGACGTGAGTGGGTGATGATCGTATTCATTAACCATTTACTCCGGGTGGGATACAAAGTTTCACCTGAAATTAAACCTCTACTAGACCAAACCTCTACAGAGATTCAGGCCACAGGAAAATGTCACATTTGTTTAGAGGGAGAATTACAAATGGCTTTACTCCCTTGTGGACACGTATGTTGCTGTTCATTATGTGCTCCCACCTTCCGGTATTGCCCCATCTGTCGATCCGATGTGAAGAGAACTCAACGTATATTTCTGTGTTGAATAAAAAGGATTGAAACCCTATTTTTCTCTTCATTTATCATCATGCAACCTAACGAGACACTTCCCTCTTTTCAATTAAAACACGAATTTACCATGGTGGTAGCAGGACCATCTAAATCGGGGAAAACGGAATTTGTTAAGAAATTAGTGGAAAATTTACATTGGATTACCCCCATGCCCCAAAAAATTGTCTGGTGTTATCGAGAATGGCAACCGGCTTATACTTCTTTAACAGATCAGGTCTCCTTCATTCGAAATATTCCAGAAGACGATGAGAAATTAGTAGCCAATTTAAGTATTCCTCACTTACTCATTTTTGACGACATGATGGGAGGAAAAGCCATCGAATCGATCGTGGATTGGTTTACCCGTAAAGCGCATCATCGGAATACCAGTGTGATTTACATTACTCAGAATTTATTTGATCGGGCACCACAGCATCGCACTATTAGTTTGAATGCTCATTATTTAGTGTTGTTTAAAAATCCCAGAGACAAATCTCAAATCAGTGTCTTGAGTCGACAGTTAGCTTTACCTCATTTGATGTCAGCTTATCAAGAAGCCACCAGTGTTCCTCACGGGTATCTCCTGGTGGACTTGAATCCACACACCCCAGACGAATACAGATTGAGAAGTCGATTGTTTGAATTGTTAACTATACACATGCCACAAGAGTATAAATAAAAATGTACCAACATTAAACTTGTCATTTATCATTATACAGTCGTCATGGGTCGACCTCTCTCAGCCAAGAGTAAATTAGTGAAAACGTTACGACGTTTACAGCAGGAGCGAGATCCTGCCAAGCGAGCCCATTTAATTGAATTAGGGCGTAAAGCTTTATTGAATTGGTTTGCTATGGGAGCTCGAAATTTGATACGTGGGGTCTTACCTATCAATAAACAGACTCAAAAGTTTATTAATAATCATCGTCAAGATTTAAGTATCATAGCCGATAAGTCAGCGAGTGATGAAGACAGGAAAAATGCCATTTTAAAACGCGGAGGAGCCGGATTTCTAGGCGGAGTCATTATTCGTCATTTATTTAAATGGAATGCACCTAAGAAACGACGTGTTCGTCGTTTAAAAAGTGTGGTAGTACGAGTCAATAATAAGAAACAAAGAGTATTTCCAGATTGGATGGTCCGAGTAGGAGGAGCAGCTCAAAAGACCAGAAAGAAGAGAAAACCTCCTAAGAGAAAACCTCAAAAGAGAAAACCTGCTGCTCAAAGAAAAGGTGGTAGAAAGAAAAAAACGACTCCCAAAACTCCAGCTCAACGAAAAGCCATGCCTGAAAGTTTAAAAAACGAAATCAATCAGTATTATAAAGAACAAAGACAAAAAACTATTGGGGAATTATTAAAAAAACAAGCTGAAATGAGAATGGATCGTCCTATGGGACCCATAGGCAGTCAAAGAGCTCCCGATTTAGAAATGTTTCCTCAAGTCAATGTGGGAATTCACACTCCTAGAATTAAAGTACCCATTCACACTCCTAGAATTAAAGTACCCATTCACACTCCTAAAATAGCACGCTTTCAACCTCTGACCGCTTCTACACCTCAACTTCCTAAAGGAATGAGATATAAATGCCGATATTGTTCCAAATTCTACGTCACCCAGAAAAATAGAGACAAACACGAGAAGGCCAAACACGACATGTATGCTCCTCCTCCTTGAGAGTATAAAAAGGGGAGAAACCTGGAACATGTCCTCATTTTAACCCCAGGATGGCTAAGAAGAAGAAGAAGAAAAGATGCTGTTCTACACGATTAAAACCTCATTGGCCTCTTTTAAGAGTGTTATCGGACCCTCACTATTCCTCTCCATTAAAGACGGGTATTTTAAAACATTGTTCTGGAGATTGTATTCTCAAAATCTGCGAGATCGTGTACAACCTATTAAAAGGAGTGTTACCTCTTAGTTCGGCTCATAAACGAAAACTAGCTCCTAAGAAACACATCTTCAGGAGACTGGTCAAACCTCAATCTGTTCAGAAACGACGAGCTTTATTACTTCAACAAAAAGGAGGAAACATTTTACCCTTATTAATCTCAGCAGCACCTTTATTGTTGGATGCCGGTCAATCCGTCTATAAAGTCCTCAAGAAGAAGAAGAAAAAAAAAAGAGTCGTAAAATGGTGTTAGTTCCTGAAGTCTTATTAAATGATCTCAAGGCCAAATTACCCAAACCTCCGGAATTTCAATCCACCATCAGTTTAGGTCAGGAATTGGATGACATTACAAGACGTGAAGATTTAACCCCAGAAGAAAAAGTTGCTTTATATGGCCAGGAACTTCATCGATATAGGAATTATTTACAACAAGCTAGACAGGAACCTATTTCTAAACTGAAAATTCCGGCAGCAGCAGCAGCTCCAGCTCCAGCAGCAGCAGCAGCATTACCAGCAGCTGAAATTGACGATGAAATTCTTGAAACAGTGAATAAAAACATGAAGAGAAAAGCTGGATTATTATTAAATCATTTAAAGAAAAACCCTAAAGTATTAACTTGGAATAAAGAAGGTGAAATTAGTTATCGAGGTCAAAAAATTCCCGATTCTAACATTGTGGATTTAATGGCTGATAGTATGAGATCTTATTCTCGTAAAACTCATCCGGTTCCTACAGGATTAGAACAATTTGCTCAAGCTTTAAAAGAAACGCGTACTCCTCTAGAATACGTGAGCAATGGAAACCTTATAAAAGCCATGCAGAGACCTGGAAAAATCAGTACTCCTAAAAGTCACGAAATAGACGATAGTGGATTTTCTTCCTTTTTTGACACTCCAGTGAGTAGACCCCTAGAAGATCGAGGAACCGTCATTAAAAAATCCATTTCAACTCCTGTAGGGACAAGAGTAGGATCCAGATATAGTCCTTTAGCTCGAAAGAAATTAAAAGCCCAAGTCGAAGAAGACATTAGATCCTTTAAAGCTAAAAAGGAAGAAGAAAAGAAATTAGGACAAATCGATGAAAATTGGCTTTCATTGCCTAAAATATGAAAAAGAAACAAGTAGAAGATATTTTAAAAGAGATTTATTATGATCCTAAAAGAGGGTACGGAGGAATACAAGCTTTGTATCGTCAGGTCAAACCTTTAGGAATTTCCCTGAAAAAGATTCGAGAATGGTTAAAAGAGCAAGATACTTATACTTTACATAAACCCATTCAAAGAAAATTCCGGAGACAACAGACTAGAGTGACCGATATAGACGAACAATGGCAATTAGATTTAGCAGATGTGTCCAGTTTAAAGAAACATAATGATGGATATACGTTTTTATTATGTGCCATTGACGTCTTATCTAAATATGCCTGGGTAGTGCCTTTAAAACAGAAAACAGGAAAAGAAATGATTCGAGGATTACAAGAGATTTTTCAACAAGACGGTCGACGTCCCGTCCGCATTCAATCCGATCAAGGAAAAGAATTTACCAATCGAGAATTCTTACAAGCTTTTAAATCCATTCATTTTTTTACTACTCGTAATACGGACACTAAAGCCAGTATCGTGGAACGATTTCAGCGTACACTCAAAGCACGCATGTGGCGTTATTTTACTCGTCATAAAACCAGACGGTATTTAGAAGTTTTACCGGATTTAGTGTATGCTTACAATCATACCTATCATAGGAGTATCAAAAGAGCCCCAGTTCAAGTGAATGCTTCTAATGTGTTAAAAGTCTGGAAAACTTTATATGGGACATCGAATCGAAAACAGTTTCTTAAACCTCAGTTTAAAGAAGGAGATCAAGTCCGCATCAGTAAAGCCAAACGCACATTTGAAAAAGGATATTTACCTAACTGGACCACAGAACTGTTTACCATTTCTAAAAGAGTTCCTGGAAGGTATCCTTACGTGTATAGAGTGCAAGATTATAACGGAGAGGAATTAGAAGGGACTTTTTACGAAAAAGAATTACAAAAGATCATTAAAAAAGACGACGTGTACGAAGTGGAGGAAATCTTGGGGTATAAAAAGCGACGCGTCGGAAAAAAAATCATTCAAGAAGTCAAAGTTCGGTGGAAAGGATATCCTCCTAGTTTTGATTCATGGATTCCCCAAACGGATCTCATCAAATAACGCCTCATTGGAAATTTTGTGGAGAGAATATTCCTCGCGAAGAAATCGTTTATTTCGCCCAATTATTTATCTGTGTATCTCTTATCATTACCAGTGTGGTCATGTTAGCTTTACACGATCCTAATCGAGAATATTGGATGGTATGTGTCAGTTCTTCAGTAGGTTATATCATGCCTAGTCCTACAATGATGCATCATACCCCTAAGAAGACCACGAATGCACAGGGGTAATGTCTTAAAAAAAAATAAATACATCACAGAGTATATATAAAATGGGGAAACAAAAAAAAATTCATTTCTGATCTGACTGAGGATAGAGCAACATGGATTTTTTAAGCTCAGAGTATCGTTGGAAAATGCAAGAGCATACAGGTTCCACTAAAAAAGGAGAATGGATGAAAAATAAAGATGAATGTATCCAAGATTTCATGGATAAGAATCCGGGAGAAACAGGAGTCAATGATGTGTACCTGTATAAGAGAATCAAATTACCGGACCATGAATGTGGACAACTTTTAATAGTATTATTAGGACCATGGCGACCCCAGTATCAGGAATTCAAATGGAAAGTAAAATATGTTTTCGCTCACAAACCAGAGGGACCAGCAAGGACTTGGATTCAAGGGAAATGGATGGAAGAAATCCGTGATTGTATCAAAGATTATGTAAATAAAGTCCTCAAAGAAGGATACGACATCATGGACTGTGCTTGTGAAACAGAATATTTGTACATGAGGAGAACTTTTCCTATTCAAAAAGAACTATGTCAAAGTATTCCATGTTTGTTACTTTAATGTTATTATGAATTAAAAATTTAAAAAAAAAATGTCTTATTTTTTCTCTCTCTCTTCAACTATAACATTTTTTGTGACGTCACAATGCATAGCTAGCTGTGATTTGAATCTCTGCCAAGAT